ATCCAGTTTTACATGAAAAGGCAGTTAGGATGTTACTACCTTTTTCAACAACGTACTTATGTGAATCAACATTTTCAGCAATGGCAATGATAAAATCGAAACAACGAAATCGTTTAAGTGTTAGTTCCACCTTATGCCTTTCAGTTACAACCTAAAATCCTAGCCTAAAATCCTTACTAGCAAAAAAGAGCAGTGATCACATTGATTTGTATACTAATGTACTGGTAAATAAATAACAAATATTTATTGCTCAATGTAGTTTTCAGTTCTTTTTACAACAGAGAATTTTTTTCAATTAAAAATAATATTGTCACCAGTCCATCACCAGTCCAGTTTTGGGTTGAGAAACACTGCCGTAGATCATCGCTGACTGATTGCCCCTGGAAGTCGGCTTCTTACAGAAACACAGCTTCCCTATCATCAAATGTCACGGCACGCCACTGGTTGAGCACCAGAACTACTTTTGGAACATCAAGGCATAAATTATATGGTCTAACATGTACAGTAAGTACAGTTGATCCTTCAACAATACAGCATTACTTATGTTTTATGTGTGTACTTTTTCATTAAATAAGTTATAAAATTGTTTGAAGAAAATATTTTAAATCATTAATATTGCAAAATTAATGATATTTTATGATGATATCCAGCTGCTAACCTTCTTCATTAATAATACAGCAAAACCTGTGTAAACCAGAATTGTACCATATCAAATCTTTTTCTGGTTTGGCAAGTTTCTGTTTTACATGGGTTCCATTTTGGACAGGTTTTACTGTACAAGATATTGATTATGAACTGTGTAGCATTAGTTCAATAAATTTTTCTGAATTTTCTGTTAATTAGCATTGTCAAGATATATTTTATTCATAACATATAAACTATTATGTTTAAATTTAATATGAAATTAGAAACAAATTAGTTTTCATTAAAAGAAATTGCAGATTATTTGTGTTTCTGCATTATCCAAGGCTCCACTATCAGTCATTAGCCTGGATAATTGAGAGTAAACTGCATATATTTAATTGCATATGTACTGTACAGTGCCAGTACATATGCAATTGCATTATTTACTACATTGCACGGGACACTGAAATATTACCTAGGAGCAAAGTTATTCTAAAACCAGCACTAAAAGTAACACACTATACTAAGGAGTAAGGCCCTGTACACACTAGGCGTTTTTCAACGCGCGTTAAACGCGCGCTTTTAAACACGCGTTTAACGCGCGTTTTAAAGAACCAAGAGTTCTATGTAGCCGTACACACTCAAACGCCAAGCGCGCGTTAAACGCGCGTTTATAGATTTTTGTTAAAACGCGCGTTTTGCGGGCACTTTATGGGCGTTTTGAGATATATGTGCTGCCTTATAGCGACGATGGAGGAGCACACACAATTAATTACTTTCTCGTCCATTTCCAAATTGAGCCAGTGCTAAACGCCGAACTAACGCTCGTCGAACGCCGAGCTAACGCGCGTTGAAAACGCCTAGTGTGTACAGGGCCTAAGGAGGGACTGAATTACTATAATATAAATATAACTTAAGTTATATGCAATACACTGTTTTTGCAATATTGCAATATACTGTAATATCAGGCCTCATCAGTGGATCCACTGATGGGGGTGATTGTAAGGAGAAATTGTAAGGCAATTGTAAGGCGAAATGCATTTGGATTATGTGAATTTACTGAGAATGGAACTGTTAAGAATAAAGGTTTAGTATTTCTTCATTTTTCATTTGTCTGTTTGTGTAAATCTCTCAAAGTCGGATGTAAAGAGTATATCTACTTGTTTTAGTCTAGAAATGATTTATTTTTAGAATATACAGATTGTATTAATATAGTTACTGATCCCATTGGCTGTAATTTTATAAACAAACTTAATCAGTGCTTAAGGGCCTGAAATATTAGTGCACTCAAAGTGAGTTTAAAAAGAATAAATTTTAAAAACTAAAGTCTACCAAAAAAGAAAAGAAAAATAAATCTTTCAAATACTTCATGTAATATACATTACTTTGCAACTACTGGAACTGGAAACAAATTTTTCTTCATTGTTCTCTTGTTCCAATAATCAATATCAAGTAAGTTATATGCTTTGACAAACACAACACTGAGTTTGTGGAATAGTGTTTACTAAACTTTTTGCTCCCTTTTAGTGCATATATTTCTTTAGTGTCCACATAAAATCGGTCAGAAATGATATATTGAAAAATAAATTTTAATTAAAAGTTTTCTAATTAAAACATTAATCAAAAAATAATTGTCTAAAAGTATCTTAAAGCAGTTAACAAATTTTCATAACCACCTTAAGCTTGTTAAGAAATATTTATTTATATCACCATAAACATTTTCAATTTAAATTGTATGGGTCATTATCAGGTGTAATATACTGTATTTAAATGTTTTTTAAAATGGAACATTTCACATTTATAAAAATGTTCAAATACAGTATTACACCTGATGATGACCTATACAATTTAGGTTGAAAACATTGTGGTGATATAAATATATATTTCTCTGCAAGTATAAGGTGGTTACGAAAATTTATTTCTCACTGCTGAGTGATTCTGATTTGTATCTTAAAGTAGTTTATTTAATCAAAATGGGCATTACCACCCCTGCCCATTTCAGGAATCACTACTGTTAAAAATTCATTTGAAAAATTAGAATATGTATTGACAGATAAAACTGAAAAGTTCAAGAATATGAACATGGAATTAACTCCCATTTGAAAATAATTAAGAAATTAAGAAAAAAATCCAAAAAAGAAATATACACTAAATATCATTGCCATAAAAACTAGAGGACCAAGAAGGAGTTGTTGTAATTAAATGAAATTGTACATATGTGAGAGTAATGGCAATATATTGATAAGTAAGTGATTACAAAATGAAAGTAAACAAGATCATTTATTGTAGGAAAAACTACAAATGAAAGGAGGTTCTAGTACCCTGTTGGGCCACCTCTAGCATGAATACATGATGTGATACTGGTGGGCATGGAGGCATACAGATGCTTTTGGTGTCTTGAACCACAGTTGCTGCAAGTGGTTCTCTAGTTTGGCCAAACTCTTAGGCTGTCCGACTTGGCATCCCAGGTGATCCCAAACATGTTTGATCAGTGACAAATCGGGACCAGGCAGGCCAGGAAAATGTGGCAATGTGAGGGAGGCATTCTTGCTGTGTGTAGTCGGGCATTGTCCTGTTGGAAAGTAGCTTTTAGACACCTTGTCTTGAGAGACAACAGATGTAACTGTAGAATGTCACTAACATACATCTGGGCTGTCATGGTCCCTTGGATCACTACTAGAGGTGACTGGCTGTTGTTTGTGATGGCATCCCCATCACAAACAACAGCCAGTTGTGTGATGAGGTTGTTGTGTGTACCACTCCAAAGCATAGACAGGATTGAGGCATTCACCATGGGGCCTCCAGNTAACATACATCTGGGCTGTCATGATCCCTTGGATCACTACAAGAGGTGACTGGCTGTTGTTTGTGATGGCATCCCCATCACAAACAACAGCCAGTTGTGTGATGAGGTTGTTGTGTGTACCACTCCAAAGCATAGACAGGATTGAGGCATTCACCATGGGGCCTCCAGAGATGAACACAGCCATTGTCAGTACCCAAACTGAATCTGGATTTGTTGCTGTAGACAACCTGGTTCCATTCCATTGTGATCCAATCTCATCAGGAGTGACACCTCTCCAAACACAGGCGACAGTGGGTGGCTGTAAAGGCAGCACATGTAATGGTCACTGCAATACCATATGTTCCTCACCCAGGTGCCTTGAAACAGTAACAGACAGAGATGGGCCTGTAATGATGGTCCCACCAGTGTCTGGATGGTAGACAACAATATGGTCAGCCATGAGCATGCTTGTCAAAGGACCAGGTGGTCTTCTCAGCTAGCAGTCTGCTGAGGGTGTCCTAAGCCTGGGTGTTATTGTCTGTGAGCTCTCTCTTGTCCATTGGTCTCAACACCTCCTCACAATGTTGTCAGAATAGCCAAGGTGGTGAGCTATTCAGCAAGATGACCATCCAGCTTCTCTCAACTCAATGATCCTTCCCCTCTCAAACTTGGTTAGTTGTTAATATGGTCTTCAATTGCAACATAAAGGCATCTCTAGTGATACAGTGTCTTTTTGCAACGGGTAAACTACAGACAGAATGCCTTTGTGGGCTTTTTTTTATAGGCCAAGGGGGGCACAGTTTAATGCCCTATGCTGGTATTACACAATTAGCCATCATGGTATAACTAATCATTTCCATGTCTGCTTGAGACTTATCTGCATGCCAAGTTTTGCAGTGATACAACTCCTTGGTGCACTAATTTTTATGACAATGAGTGTATATCAGATATTAGTTATTGTGATATTTTTAATCAGATATTTTAAATAATAGATTAAGTAATATACATTTTATATTAAAAAGTTAAATTTTTTATAAATTTAACTTTTTATACAAATAAGTTTAAAAAATAAGAAATATAATTATTTTAAGATTAATTAAAGACACTATAAATTTTTTAAATACATTATAAAAGGTAATCAGTTTTATATCTGTTTTAATAGTAATTTAAATTATTTATGCTTCACAAAGATCTAATTTTAGTAATCTTAATGATTTATGTTAAAGATAAGTGGCACTTCATTTAAAAATTACCACCACTAAATATATATATTTACTCTTTATGAATTTCATATAATGATTTATTTACTAATAATTCATTTCACATGTATTTAAAAATAATTAAATTTATTTTTCATAAGTAATAAACTCTAAAATCTTTTATCAATCTTTATTTATATCATCTTTAAATTTTAAAATAAAATTTACTTTTAAATTGTAATTTAAATTAATTAAATTTACATAAATTTCATATACCACTTCATATTTTATTTTTATTGAAAGCAAATGCTGAATCATTTAAAAAGTTAAAATTTTTAAACACAGTTTTTTCAAAACAGTAGTATATAATTTTTCAATTTTTTAGGCTAAAATTATACAGAATTTTGATATCAGAATTTAATAATGCAATCAGTTTTCAATAAATTAGAAAAAAATAAAATAAATATACTAATTATTATTTATGCATTTTATGTACAAAAATAACTTCAGAAAGTTTACATGCTCTATTGTAAACACTGACTAATTGATGAAACAAATACTAATATCAATAAATAATTTAAAAATATTTTATCTTATATACAGAGAAGATATTTTCAATTTTAAATATATCATAAATATTTCCTTTACCAATAATAATACATTATACATTATATATTTATATATATAAATATATACACAATACAAATAATCTATATATATATATATTTTAACAAAGTAATGAAACACCCCCATTATCTGCTCCAAGTAGTAGTAATCTGTTTAAAGGTAATAGGGCCATTGAAGTTAGAAGACCTTTAAATGTATCAGAACGTAGTCGAGTACTGGTGAAAGAACACTAATAAAAAAAAATTAACAACATATTTTTAAACATTTCTAATTTTATTAATTTATATTTTGAAAATTTTATTACTTGATTTTCGATTGATGAATGAACTCCTATTTTATTAGCTGTAGTTCCTGTGATAACTTCACCTCGATGAAATGCTAAACAAGTAACTGGTTCTATAGGCCCTAAAAAATAACCGATTTTCTTTATTTATTTATTCTTGATATTTTATATTGAATTTCAATGGGAAAAAATCAAATATATATTTTAATGTTATTTAAAATTTTAGTATTAAATTTGAAAAATGTAATTTTTAGTTATACTGTATCTTACTTTATAAATCATATAATTAAGAATTTTTAAATATTTATTACATAAATCAAAAATTAATTACATAACTTTACTAATAAATAAATAAAAGATGTAAGATAATTTTGTGAGGCTCTGGACAGGTCTGAATCCTCACTGAAATTCATGTTAAAATAATTTTTGTTTGAAAGAAAAAAAAATAGAAGTTATAAATAGTTTTTTGTATGAAAATGCAACACAAACTTTTAAATAATAGAAGAATGTGAGTCATCGACCATCTCCGGTTGGGGATTGAATCAAACTTCGATTTTGATCTCTCCACAATCTAAGTTAAGATCTCATTACACATAGTAACAAGTAGTCAACCAGTTAGGAAGCGAGAATGAGGAAAAGCAACCAATTGGAATGGGCAATTGAGGATGAAAATTAATAAAAACCCAGAAATTCAAGAATGTGACAGCTTCTCCCAAAAGTTCCAAGTGTCAGACCAGTTGTGTGTGTGTGCATGTGCGTGTGATGCCCATCTTCATCTCCGTCTCTTAACCTTAAATCAACATCTTCCCATTAACAGAAGTCGATTGCATCGTCCTGGAGTTGTCGAGAGAACTATCATTTGCAAATCAGAGACACCTCCTTCATTTAAGACTATCTTGGAAAGGAAAGAAAGACCCAGAGGCTGCTGCCAACTTAGAACTTCTAAGATCGTGGAAATCTTGTAAGCTTTTTTTCATGTCAAATAAATGGTTTCTTGTAACTGTACAGTCTGTATCAGTGCTGATCACCTACATACAAACCCTTCATGACCTATCGACCCTCTTGACATTTCTACCCCCATTGGCAACCTTACAATTTAATAAGGATTTGTAATTCTATTGTGAAGTAAATAATAAGAAGATGTTTTTTTTTTATTTTTGCATAAAACAGATATGAAACTATTTGAAAAATTATTTTGTCTTAAAAATTTTAAATGTTGAAAATTATAAAATGCAGTCATTATGTTTAATCTAATTTATCATCATATTTTTTAATTCTATAGTTTTCCAATGATAATATTAGTTTTAAAAAGTTTTGAGAGATTAAAGTGTTGTCAAGCTGGCTTTTATTAACAACTGATCAAATTAACCAACTAAATCTTCCCCTAACCAGTTAAAAACTTTTTAGTTTAGTAAAAAAAGTTACAGACTAATATGTTATTGAGTATTATAGGATGAGTATGGTTTCGTCATCATTAACTGAGATTCATACAGAAAGTTGCCATATTAGCCAGCTACAATTGCAGTCATTTTGGTTTGATGTGAGTACCACTGATGATATGGCAGACATACCATCTGAATTCAATTTCGTGACAAACTCAAACCATCATATTTATTACTTTGGTAACTGTAAATATGATTTGAGTTTTGAATTCAGTAAGATTTGCAGGCAAGGATAGAATAAATGAACATCTTTAATGAAATCCCAGAAAAAAATGAGGGGTGTCAAATTTGAAGAATGAGGTAGCCATGCTATTGGCCTGTTCAACTAATTCACCAACCTGAAAAAGTTCAGAGGATTTATTGAAGAAATCCTGGATATCTGTACAGTATTTTTTTTTCTAGGGTTTCATTAAAGATCTAGAGGAGTGTTTCTCAACGGGGATGATATCACCCCCATGTGGACATTTTTCCATGTTGGGGGGCAATTAGTAGCAATTTATATTTTGGGAGGCGAAAAACAAATTTCTAGGCGATATAGTAAAACATTATATTATGAATAATTAGATATTTTATTCATTATATTGTACAATAATTAAACAAATAACATTATACTAGTCANGGAAACACTCGTACTTATTTTTTTTAACCCCATTCCCGATAACCCGGCATTTTCACAAACTCGGCCACCCTTTGGTCCACATTAGGCCGAGTTTTCAAGGTTCTACTGTATTAAGCATGGTTAGACAAAGTTCGACAAGAAATTGAATTTTGGATGTTTTTCTATATCAGCAATGGCTCTCTCATCAAACCAATATCAATGCTTGAGGTAAAACTTGATGAGTTTTTCTATAAATTAATAGCTGAAGTGATTTTGTAAGTATTCTGATTAAATTTCTGTACACTTTCAAAGTTGTAAAGTCCTTTTTGAATTATCCCATATTAAATTTATGATGCATTTTTATAAGAAAAATAATATATTACAAAACTAACAATTTGCAATGTTCTGTTCTTGCAGGATGCAATGAACAGAACATCTAGTTAGATCTAATAATACTACTATTCATAATACTTGTATCATTGTCAAAAGTACAAATTATTTTACTTAATATTAAGATATGATTTTCAATTTATTCAATAGATGATTTTCAATTTAAATGAATTTAAAATAATAAATAAAAGAGAATTATAATACGTTTAGCTAAAATATTTCTTAGTAAAATTAATTATATAAATTATATTTATAAGAAAATTACAGTCACTGCCAGTAAACTGGTATAATTCACCAATAAACACAACTATATCCATCCCCCCAAAAAAATATTTTCTTCCATTTTAAATAATCATCATCAGGCTAGATGAAACAAAAGTAAAATTGAACAATTGTTTATAAAAATAGAACATAACATTTTAGTTGTTTAAAACAAAATATTGTCCATTTAAAAAGAAGAAAATGTTTGTTTTCTTTAAAATATATTTGTTTTTTTTCCTGATTATAGGTGTCTAGTCGTGCTTACTAAGAAAACTAGTTTTTATTAATTAAATAACTCTACAGCTTGCTATTAGAAATAACAATATTTACTAATATTATTAAGTTTTTTCCACATTTTAGGTCTCCACTATCAGAAACATTGCTAAATGGAGATCTAAAATTCATTTGGTTTCTAAAAATGTAAATAAACTTTTGTGTAATATTTAGAAATATTAGAAACCAAATTAAACAAAATTGAAATAAAAATAAAACAAATGAAATATGAAAGTAATCATGTAAGAAGCAAATTTAGATAATGTCATTTATAATTTACCTCTAAGATAACATTTGAGTTTTGCTTCTTCAGCATTCCAAACAGAAACACTATGATCTAAGGAAGTTGACACAAAACAAGTATTGTTGAAGGCTTTTAACTATAAAAAAATATCAATTCACACATTAAATTATTTATTTTATATTAAAATTATTTAAATACAATTAACAAATATAACTAACATTAAGAATTTCTCCTTCATGTCCCATCCATGACTCAAATAACAGTCCACTCCTTACATCGAGAACTGAAATAATTCCTAAAATTCTTCATTGATCTTATATTAAGGTTTTTGGAGTATCTGAAATTTCTTTCTTTTGTTTAACCAAATTTATTGTTGAACAAAAAGGAAAAACATTCCAAAAGTAACCTACAAAAAAGATATATAAATAAAATTATTATTAGTTGTAATAAAAATGTTACAAAGATAAAAAAAACTACAAAATCATAAAGGAATTACAAAAGTGATCACAACACTTACATAATGTTTATAGCCAATATTTTAATCAAGTAATTGGAAATTGGATTAATGGATAAATAATATGAACATATGATCTAAATCCATCAAATTAAAATTTTAAATCTATTATTTTGGTTCAATATATCTCATGTAACTAATGACATTAGATGTCATATTATTGGCTAACTACAATCAGACTATGTTGTTCTTGCAAAACTGAAGAGTGCAGAATTTACAAGAAAAACAATAAAATAATTCCACAAATAGAACTGCTGCAAAAATAAATAGTTATTCATAAATTTTTTGTTATTATTATTATTTGTGTAATATACTGTTATAATATAGTGTAAAGTGTCGTTATTTTGCATCAGTGCAAAATGATAAGTGTAATAAAATAAATAAATAAATAAATAAACTGTAAAAACCATCTAAAATAAATACAGTATATGTTTATTTAAAGTTACTCACTCCTAGTTAGAACAAACAAAAAATATTAATATTTTTTTATATAAATAAAAAACTCATATTTATATTGTTCCATAAAACAGGATGACCTCATGACATAACAGGAATCAGACCAGACCCTGGACTGAGTCCCATTATGTCATGGGGTCATCCTGTTTAACATAGTTACTACAGTAGAACCTCGAAAACTCGGCTCTCGATAACCCGGCACTCCGGATAACTCGGCCACACCCTGGCAGGGCAAAAAAATCCTTAGTTAATTAATTTTCATTATAGACAGCTTTATAAAAGTATAAAAGCTCTCATAAAGTATTTTTCTGAGGTCTGTCTTATCAGGTAAATTACTGTACACAGTGTATTCATTAATTTTCATTTTCATGTAGTAAAGGCTCTATGCCTTCATAAAGGACGTACTTTTCCTTTGT